CCATGCAACCCTAAAATCAATGACCACCCTGTTTCTTTAGTGTTTAGGGTTTTTCAATGTTCTTGGTTGTTAGGGCTTATTCCAAAGAATATAGAAGGTGTTGTTGATTGAGTAGACACGGTAAGGAACATAGAGTTACTAGATTCAAGACTCGCATACTGTGAGCATTTGCTCATGCTCTTCTAAGATGCTGCTTTTGGTAGACTTATTTTGGAGTGGAGTGAAGTGCCTAAAAATCCCTTTCCTTTGCCTCCCCTCCCTGAGAGCAAGTGGAATTTAATTGAGACAGTTTTAAACTACAAAAAGAACTTTTAAAGTACTTAAAGAACAATTAAAATTTTTCTAAGTGTAGATGAAGTTCTTTTCGAGGGTACTGGGAGAATGAAAATAGTGTCCCTTTTCAAAGTGGAGAGACAGTAATATACCCATCAGAGAGGATTGATTGGGAGAGATTTAAAAAGTTATTTCAAGAGTTGAAACCTGGAGATCTGTTTGCTTGAAGATTTTTAGCCCACAACAGTGAGCATCTCATCTATTAAATGTTGTTGGAACATGGCTGCCACCTAATCTTTGTCCAAACAAGAACATTGCAACTATACAACTTCATTATAGTTTTTGACACATATGCTTCTGTATATGGTGATCAATTGACTAGATTGATAAATAAACTCCTCGATAAATAGTGTGGGAACAACGATTTTCAAAAGTTAGAACACTATTTAGGAAATGGTGGCAAGAAAGTTGATACTCTTCAACAAGTGCAAGCAGAGCAACAACAGCAATAGTAACATCAGCAGTAGCAGCCACACAACTGGTAGAGCAAAAGTAGCAGCAGCCAACACAACAGCCACGCTAGGTATGCTATCATGGGAGAGAGCAACAATAGTCACAACAACTGGTGGAGCAAGAGTAGCAGCAACAACTGGCCAAGCAAGAGTAGCAGCAGCTGACGTAGTAGCCACACCAGATATGCTATCGTAGGAGAGGGTAGTAGCAGCATCAGCATCAGTAGCAACAGCTGCAGCAACTGCCAGAGTAGGAGTAGCAACAGCCCTAGCTAGAGGTCGCAGATTTGATGCTTGCATGAGAAAGAATTACTGAAACCATGCAACCTTAAGATCAACAGCCGCCCTCGTGTTTCATTGTTTAGGGTTTTTCAATGTTCTTGGTTGTTAGGGCTTATTCCAAAGAATATAGAAGGTGCTGTCAATTGAGCAAATGCAATAAGGAACATGGAGTTAAGAGATTCAAAACTTGCATATTGCGAGCACTTGCTTGCACTCTTCTGAGAGCTATTGGTGTTGCTTTTGGTAGACCTATTTTGGAGTGGAGTGAAGTGCCTAAAAATCCCTTTCCTCTGCCTCCCCTCCCTGAGAGTGAGTGGAATCTAATCAAGAGAGTTTTAAACTATTTAAAAGACTTTTAAAGTACTTAAAGAATTATTGAAATTTTTTTGAGTGTAGATGAAGTTCTTTTTAAGGGTATTGGGACAATGAAAATAGTGTCCAAAGAATACAGAAGGCGCTATCGATTGAGCAAACATGGTAAGGAACATAGAGTTAAGAGATTCAAGACTCACATATTGCGAGCACTTGCTTGTGCTCTTCTAAAAGCTATTGGTGCTGCTTTTGGTAGACCTTTGGCAAGTCAGAGGAACAAATCCTCTAGTTGAAGTTACTAACTTTAAAAGGGGTGGCTTATAGGGCCAAGCATGGAAGAGTCTATGCATGATCACAGATTTGTCAGGTGAAAGGACTTAGTAGTGCGGAGGAACTACATTCTTAAGCTGTGATTTATAGCGCGCTTTAAGTATAAATTAGTTTACTGGTGTAGGGAGTCACGCCAGGCATCCTGTGTAATGCCGTCCGTAGATGCATATACGGAGGTTGGGTTCAAGTCCTGACCCTCTAGTGCTTAGGTTCGAGTCTCAACTCACTAGGGCGTAATGATGATTTGGAATATGAGGACACTCATTTTTCAGTGGTCATAGACTCTTAGTAAGGAGACTGGCTTGGGCACACCGCCAAGCGGGGGATGCCCCGGAGTCGTGATGCATGGTTAAATTGCTAAGTGTGAAAACTTAACATATCTAACTTAAACACTTTGGTGCAATTGATACCAAGGACGTGGTGAATGAGATGGGGACACCCAATCTTAGTTGTTATGGACCCTTGGCTAGAAGGGTTAGCTTGGGCATACCACCAAATGTGGGGGATGCCCCCGGGGTCATGGTCAACAACTTAAAGGTGTAAGCAATTCGAGAGATGATCCGTTGGGGTTCAAATACAGAAGGAAAGGGCCTATAAACAAGAGTGCACCCTCTTTTCCAATCGGTTAAGGGTCTTGGGATATTTGGGATTAAGCGTCCTTGGGTTTGAATAGTACTGGGCTGGGTGACCTCTTGGGAAGTCCAAATTCAGGAGTTTACATTTGGTATCAGAGGGGTCTCAGGTTTGACTCTGTTGGTTGGCTAGGGGAATCATACCATATGTTAATTGACATCTGGTAGGTCCAGTTTGCTCCCACTGGGCTTGACGACTCGAGGGGTAGGGTCTCAAGAGAGTGGGGCTCTCGGGAGAGCTGCGGCTCCTAGCTTCCGTTCATAAGGGCATGAACTTACAAGGAAGCGTGGTGAATTGTAAGCAACCAAAGGGAACAACTCGAGAGATGATCCGTTGGGGTTCAAATATAAAGGGAAAGGGCCCATAAACAAGAGTGCACCCCTTTTTCCAATCGGTTAAGGGTCTTGGGATATTTGGGGTTAAGTGTCCTTGGGTTAATGTTAATGGTGTGGCTTGGTTAAGGGTTGGGTGACCTAATGTTAATGTTAATGGTGTGGCTTGGTTAAGGTGACCAAGTGGGAAGAACATTTAAGGGCAATGTGATGGCATAGTGAGTCCAAAGAAAGTAGTCTTTATAAGAGACCCATAGGAGGGTTACAAAGTTGGGCTATGGATGGGGTCTATAGCAGAAAATGCTAAAAAGACCTACTAGGGGTGAGCACCTTTTGGATTTGGCAAAGTGGAGTTTTTGCCATGGAACCAAAAGAATACCTCAAGGATGAAGGTAGTGATCTTATGTTACTTAGAACAACAATTAATGGATAGGAGCAAAAAACTAGTGGCTAAGAAAAGAGCCATGGGAATCATGGGATAAAACCCAAGTGGCAAAGTTAAGCCAAGAACACTAATATGGTAAATGCTAACAGATTGTGGGAAGGCAATGTGTTTCCAAGGATGGATTCCCAATTGTTCCAATTTGGCGAAGGTGGAAGCTCCAAGGGAGGGAGCAATAAGGTAACCAAATGATAGGGCCGTGAACAACCCTAACACAAATTATGATAACTGGAATTTAGTGCCAAAGGTGGCACAAAGTAGAAAAAAGGATGATAGTGCCATCAAGTAGAGAACTTCCTAGGATAGGGAAGTGGAGTTGCACAAAATGTGCAATGCAAGGTGTCGGAAACACTTAGGAAATTAACTCCGAGAAGTCAAAATTAAAAGTTCCAAAGTGCAAAGGTTATATCAATGGAAACTGAGACTACTCGAGAATGATAGTGGGATTGAGATAGAAAAGGTGTCTCTAACAAGTTTAGTGAAAACTAAACTAATAAAAGAAAAGAACCACCACAAGTGATCAAATGAGTCTCTAAGTTGAAGAGACTATGCTCCTTACTTTTGGCATCAAACCGTTGACAAATATTGACTAAGTGCTAAGGATGGAGAAGGTAATACATGCTAGTATTACTTTATGAAATAGTTTGTCATTCAATAAGGACATCGAACTTTGTATGGGTGGTGGAGTTGTGAGACACAAAATCCCTAGGCCCCAAAGGGGAGCCAAAACGGTGCCACGTGGTAGTGGCGGAGGCAAAAGCTAAATGAGCGTAACACATTTGGACTAAAAGCTCTGACTCGAAAAGTTGAGAGTGGGAGTGGAACTCCCAACGAAACGAGCACGAAGAAAGCATTAAGTGAGTCTCTAAAAAAGGGACATAAGAGGACTAGCATATGACACATGGAAGTGTTCGAGATGGAGTCCGAGATGGAATCAAGACCGAGATTGAGACCAAGACAGAGTCTGAGTCCGAAACCGAGACCGAGTCTGAGTCCAAGTCCAAGTCTAAGTCCAAATACTAATACAAACTGTTGGGTGAAAGCCCAAAGAGATCGTCCCCCAAGGGGGGGGGGGGTAAGGGGGGGGGGGTAAGGGGGGGGGGGCAAGTGGCTATAGGGGCTTCCAAAAGTATAGTAGGGAGAGTATAAGGGTTGGAACCTAGTGGAGTCAATTTGGCCAAGAAAGGCTAGTTTGGCCCAGGAAAACTATACCCAGGTGTTGGGTGATGAGTTGACCACTGGGAAGTCCAAGATTAGAGTGAATACAGACCAACAAGCGGGGTAGCTTGGTGAAGTGTTCAAGAGCCGGCTCTAGTTCCCCTAGGAGATCGAATGGTTAATGCTCCCAGTTCAAGGGTAGGTGGCACTACCTGCTTGGATACCTGGCATGGCTCAATGGAACCTCGCTCTAAGCCCATGGCTAGAGCACCCAAAGGCAAAAGGTGGGGAGAGTACCCACGAGGCTCACGAAGGGCCACGGTGTTCCGAAATGTTGTCCTAGAATCTCGAATGGTGGAAAGGAAGAAGAGCAATCCTCTGGTGTAGTGACCAAGGATGCGGTCATATGACAAGGAGGTCTTGGAGAACAAAGGGACCTAATGGTCAAGCTTGTAAGCCTTGATCTAGTGGCAGTGTTAGCGAACACAACCATGGACAGAAAGGGACTTGGTGGGGACCGAAAAAGGGATATTGAGGAAGGCTATTCCCCATGCCTGTAGGCATCTTAAGGATGCTAAGGGGTGGATCTAAGATGATCACTCATGGACGGATGGCCCAATTTTTTAGAGACAGGACTATGATATAGGTGGTGTGGTTAAATGACTAATGTAGAATGGAAAAATTAGTCAGTGACAGCCAAGTATGCTATCACGGGAGAGGGCAGCAATGAGTGCAGCAGCCACGCTAGGTATGCTATCGCAGGAGAAGGTAGTAGCAGCAGCAACATCGGCAGCAATAGCTGCAACAGCTGCCGGAGCAGTAGCAGCAGTAGTAGCAGTAGCCTTCATTAGAGGTCACAGGTTCGATGCTTTCATGAGAAGGAATTACCAAAACTACGCAACCCTAAGATTAACAGCCGCCCTCTTTCTTTATTGTTTAGGGTTTTTTAGTTGTCTTGGTTGTTATGACTTATTCCAAAGAATACAAAAGGCATTATCAATTGAGTAGATGCGGTAAGGAGCATAGAGTTAAGAGATTCAAGACTCGCATACTATGAGCACTTCCTTGCGCTGCTCATGCTGCTTGCGTTCTTCTAAGAGCTATTGGTGTTGCTTTCGGTAGACCTATTTTGGAGTGGAGCAAAGTGCCTAAAAATCCCTTTCCTCTGCCTCCCCTATCTGAGAGTGAGCAAAATCTAATTAAGAGAGTTTTAAACTACATAAAGAACTTTTAAACTACTTAAAGAACGATCGAAATTTTTCTAAGTGTAGATGAAGTTGTTTTCGAGGGTATTGGGACAATGAAAATAGTGTCCCTTTTCAAAGTGGAGAGACAGTGATATACCCATTAGAGAGGATTGATGGGGAAAGATTTGAAAAATTACTTCAAGAGTTGAAATCTGGAGATCTGTTTGCTTCGGGATTTCCTACCCATGATGGTGAGCCTCTCATCTATCGAATGTTGCTGGAACATGGCCGCCACCTAATCTTTGTCCAAATAAGAACATTGCAACTATATAGCTTCATTTTGGTTTCTGACACATATGTTTCCGTATGTGGTGATCAATTGACCAGATTGATAAATAAACTCCTCAATGAATAGTGTGGGAATAATGATTTTCAAAAGTTAGAATACTATTTAGGAAATGGTGGCAGGAAAGTAGATATTCTTTAGTGAGTGCAAGCGAGGCAGCAGTAGCAACCAGCGCAGCAGCATCAACAATAGCAGCCGCACAGTTGGCAAAGTAGTAGCAGTAGCAGCAGTAGTAGTAGCCGGCACAGCAGCCACGCCAGGTATGCTATTGTGGGAGAGGGCACCAGCAGCCACAGTAAATGGCAGAGCAGGAGCTGCAACAACCAAGGAAGCAGCCGATGCAGCAGCCATGCCAGGTATGCTGTCGCAGGAGAGGGCAACAACAATAGTAGCATCAGCAGTAGCTGCCGCAGCAGGAGCAGCAGTAGCAACAACCCTCGTTAGAGGTTGTGGGTTCGATGCTTGCATGAGAAAGAATTACCGAAACCACACATCCCTAAGATCAACAGCCACCATTCAAGTGCATTGGACTAGGGGTAAGTAATGAAGAGCACTCCACAAACAAGAGACGGGTCAAGGAGTTGGAGGCTACGGCCACAATTCGTGAGAAAGAGGTAGAAACGTGAAGAGCTCATTCACTCACTTTCGTGACTCGGGAAAATCTTGCAGGTATTTATGCTGAACACGAAGCTAGCTCAAGCCGAGAGTATGACTTACGACATTGTGAGGGATTTACTAGAAGTCAAGCACAACATTGCAAGCTTCGCAGTAAGGATTTTTTCTTTATTGTTTAGGGTTTTTTAGTGTTTTAGGTTGTTATGGCTTATTCCAAAGAATACAGAAGGCGCTATTGATTAAGCAAATGTGGTAAGGAACATAGAGTTAAAAAATTCAAGACTCGCATACTGTAGGCACTTGCTCGCGTTGCTCGCACTCTTTTAAGAGCTATTGGTGCTACTTTCCTTAGACCTATTTTGGAGTGGAGCGAAGTGCCTAAAAATCCCTTTCCTCTACCTCCCTTCCTTGAGAGCGAGCGGAATATAATTGAGAGAATTTTAAAGTACATAAAAAACTTTTAAACTACTTAAAGAATGGTCAAAAATTTTCTAAATGTAGATGAAGTTGTTTTTAGTTGTATTAGGAGAATGAAAATAGTGTCCCTTTTCAAAGTAGATGTGAGACACAAAATCCCTAGGCCCCAAAGTGGAGCCGGAAGGGCGCCACATGGTAGTGGCCGAAGCGAGAGCCAAACGAGCGTAACACGTTTGGACCAAAAGCTCCGACTTGAAAAGTCAAGAGCGGGAGTGGAACTCCCAATGAAGTGCTTGAGGAACGAGCACGAAGCGAGCAAAAGGCGAGGCTCCAAAAAGGGACCCAAAAGGACCAACACATGACATGTGGGAGTGTCCGAGATGGACCCGAGTTGGAGTCCGAAGTGGAGTCCGAGATGGACCCGAGATGGAGTCCGAAGTGGAGTCCGAGGTGGACCCGAGATGGACCCGAGTTGGAGTCCGAAGTGGAGTCCGAGATGGACCCGAGATGGAGTCCGAGATGGAGTCCGAGATGGAGTCCGAGGTGGACCCAAGATGGACCCGAAATGGAGTCCGAGATGGAGTCCGAGATGGACCCGAGATGGAGTCCAAGATGGAGTCCGAGATGGACCCGAGATGGACCCGAGATGGAGTCCGAGATGGAGTCCGAGATGGAGTCCGAGATGGAGTCCGAAGTCGAGACCGAGACCGGGACCGAGACCGAGACCGAGACCGAGATCGGGACCGAGACCGAGGCCGAGGCCGAGGCCGAGACCGAGCCCGAGCCCGAGTCCGAGTCCGAATCCGAGTCCGAGTCCGAGTCCGAGTCCGAGTCCGGAGCCTGAGAGGGTGAAAGCCCAAAGCGTTCGTCTCCCAGACCCTGGGGGGTTTGGTGAGCTCCAAAAGTATAGTAGGGGGAGGACTGCAGTGGAGCCAGTTTGGCCAGGAAAGGCCAGTTTGGCCCAGGAAGGCCGGACCCAGTGTTGGGTGATGAGCTGCCCACTGGGAAGTCCAAGACTAGAGTGAACACAGACCGACAAGCGGGGTAGCTTGGTGAAGTGTTCAAGAGCCGGCTCTAGTTCCCCCGGGAGATCGACTGGCCGATGCTCCCAGTCCAAGTGTGGGTGGCACTACCTACTTGGATACCTAGTGTGGCTCAATGGAACCCGCTCTAAGCCCATGGCTAGAGCACCCAAGGGCAGAAGGCGAGGAGAGTACCCAGGTGGCTCGCGTAAGGCCACGGTGTTCCGAAATGTTGTCCCAAAGGCCCAGACTGTGGAAAGGAAGAGGAGCAGTCCTCTGGGGTAGTGACCAAGGACACAGTCGTGTGGTGAGGAAGTCCCAGAGGACCGTGGGACTTAGTGGTCGGGCCTGTGGGTCTCGATCCAGTGGCAGTGTTGGCCAACATGGCCAGGGGCAGAAAGGGACTTAGTGGGGACTGACAGAGGGATATTAGGGAAGGCTATTCCCCTTGTCGGTGGGCATCCTAAGGATGCTAAGGAGTGGATCTGAGATGACCACTCACGGAAGGTTTGCCTAGTCTTGGAGAGCCAAGACGGTGATGCAAGTGGTATTGGACTACCAGTGTGGCAAAGGTGATTGGGCATGGCCTTAGCGTAACGGGCTGCTATGTCGGTGGTACCTTTGAGTGTCGGTCATGGGATCGGACACGTGGAGCACTTGGACCAAGTGCAAATGTTGAGTGGCATGGATGCCATTCTCGGGGCTAGCAAGTCCCAAGTCCTGGATTGGACTTATGGAGGTTGTGAATGAGACTCCTCCAAGTGGTCAGAGGTGTGGTTAAGTGACTAAAGTAGAATGGAAAATTTAGTCGCTTACAATTTGGTATCGGAGCTGTTCCTTAGTCCGACTTTTATTGGTGCTCAAGTATATCACCACTGGTGTTGGCATCGGAAGGTCCGAGGAGTGGGCCTATCCTTGAGGAGTAGCAAGTCGGGAAGACATGGCTCTCCATTATAGTTCATGTGTGAACTTGTAGACAAGGTGGTGGATAGAAAAGGGCCAATAATGGAACGACTTTGGGATCTTGGGAACAGTATATGGTTTTCCTCAAAGAGTTGAGGATGTGATCCAGATGAGCGTTTGACTTAGCAAACTGGCTAATGTAGTTGTGGTAAACAACTACAGTTGGGATCATGGGAAAGATAAAGACTCCAAACCAATAAAGGAGTCACAAGATTTTCCTCATATAGTTGAGGTTGGTGCTCATGAATGTGAGACCAGAAGTAATGACCGTGGGTTGTAAAATACGGAAGAGGACTTGAGTCCTTGAAAAGGTAGCCGGGGCTACCTCTAATAAATGTTGGAACAACCCAAGGAGTTGGGGGTGTATTAAGTGGATGAGTTGGTGTTCTCATCACATGGACAATTAGTCCTAAGGGGCAAAGGTTGCCCCCAGAGAACAAAATCAAGTGTCGGAGTAACACTTGTGAAAATAGTCCTTTTGAGTAGGACAGGAATGCAAGAAGTGTATGCCAGTGAGCTAGTGCCTCACAAGTAAGCCCTTACGGGTCTGTGGATTAACCAAGTCCAAAATTGCTGGATGACTCAAGTAGAGTCAACGGATGGTCCTAAAAGGACTGATGGAAGCATTTGGACTAAGGTGTGGTATACCCCACAAAGGATGGGGGGGGATCATAGGATCCAAGGATGAGAACAGAGGGTATCTCATCGATGGCAAAATGTGCCATGCTAAAGTTATGGGAAAGGTGTTCCCAGAAGAAAACAACTTTGACATAAAGTTGTGTGTGACTTCTATGGTGCAGTGCTAACAGATGGTTGGCATGAGAAAGAGCGGTGTTGGTCTTGGCAAAGACTTAGACACGAAGGGGAAATGTCATAGAGGTAGGCTCGTGGAGCCAATGGTGTGGAGACACCAAATGTGCCAAGGTGTGATACCTTGAGGCTATGTTGGTGGGTTCATGAGAACCCCTTGCCAAAGGAATCCCAATGGAAATGGGAATAGCATAGCCTAAGTTGCAGAGCATGCAGTTGGAGTGTGGTGACCCAGATAATGATGGAGGTGTGAAAGCACCAAGCAATGAGTTGTAGGACTTGACAACTATGAGGCAACTAAGCAAGAGGTGCAAAATAACTGGTTAAACGGGTAGAAGGTAGCTACCCAAGACTTCTTAATAGTATAGGGAAGTTGGATATACCCTTACGGGGGATAAGTTGCTTGTGTTGCGATATAGTAAGTCAATGTCATAAAAGGAAATACTCATTGTCAAGAAAGCCATCATTGGGACACCCGAACACTCTAGAACACCAAAAGGTGGTGTTTGATGTCGCGAGGGCAATGGATAAAGCCCAAGGGACTAAGTCCCTAGCGAATGATGGATAGAAGGTGCTATCCAAATGTCCAAGGTTGCGGAGACAGGAGAGGACTGTCTACCCGAGTTGGACAAAGCCAAAAATGGAATTTTGGCAAGGCTAGTGATGGGCATGTAAAGGCCCATAAGCAACAATGTAATCCCAGTGTGTGGGATTATAAGGTGAGCATACCCGGATTGAGGAACCACTCCCTCGGCTATTGAGTAGGTTCATCCCTAAGAATACTTGCTAAAGCATGATAGAAAGTGCAAAGCTATCCTCCTGGTCTGGAGGAGAATGACCAAAGGAAAGGTGTGAAGCCAAAAAGCAAGAAGTAAGGGGATAGAACCGAACCGTAGGAATCAAAGGGCATAACCAAGGTTGGTTATGCCAGCTGGGAGTGGAGAATCAAGTGGGGGCTCGAGGGTGTTGCCGCTAGCAACCGTGATGCCATGGAGAGTCTAAAATATGGAATTGTTCATGTTAGACTATGTGGCATTTGGAAGGCTTGCAAAAAGGGAGGCCTTAGCAAGCTGAGGGACAGAGTTCCTTCAAGGTTCCCAAAGACGATTCTGGGTAGCTTAGTACCTAGAAAGGCCAAGTGTAAATGGTTCATGGAACGCGCGAAATCAGAGTGGCGCAGCAGAAGCGTGGTCTTGAAGCTTGCCATGAAGCAAGGCTATCAAGGTTAGGGAAGTAGTTCCCGAGTGTTCAAAGAGAGGGCTTTGAACGAAAGTCGATGGTCAAGGACTTTCACGCTTATGCAGGAACCATGTTACAATGGTCGGAGGACTTGCCAAGCGAGATTGGCACGTCGGGGGAACAAATACCCTAGTTGAAGATGATAACTTCAAAAAGGGTGGGCCATGGGGCCGAGCATGGAGGAGTCCATGCATGATCACAGACATGTCAAGTGAGAGGACTTGGCAGTGTGGAGGAACTAGGTTCCTAAACTGTGATCTGTAGCGCGCTTTAAAAATGAGTTGGTGCACCGGCGTGGGGAGTCACGCCAGGCATCTTGTGTGATGCCGTCCGTAGATGCATATACGGAGGTTGGGTTCGAGTCCCGACCCTCTAGTGCTTGGGTTCGAGTCCCAAATCACTAGGGCGTGGTGATGGTTTGGAATATGAGGACACTCATATTTCGGTGGTCATGGACTCTCAGTGGGGAGACTGGTTTGGGCACACCGCCAAGCGAGGGATGCCTCGGAGTCGTGATGCACGGTTAGATTGCTTAGTGTGAAATCTCAGCATATCTAACTTGAACGCTTTGGTGTAAGTGGCACCAAGGTCGTGGTGAGTGAGATGGGGACACCTAATCTCAGTTGCTATGAACCCTTGGCCGTAAGGGCTGGCTTGGGTGCACCGCCAAGTGTGGGGGATGCCCCCGGGGTTATAGTCAACAACTTGGAGGTCTAGAAGACCAAGTACCTCTTGGCAACTCTGTTAAGGTGCCAAGGTGAGATCACTAGGTGATCTTATGGCCAGATAAGGACAAGGTCCTTGGTTGGCTAAGGAATGAAGTTCCTGGTTCAAAATGTTGAAATTGAACTGTTTAAGGTGGTGTGGCTTGGTCGTGATGACCAAGTGGGAAGAGCACCTAAGGGAAATAAACTATGTCCGTGCGATGGCATAGTGAGTCCGAGGAAAGTAGTCTCTATAAAAGACCCATGGGAGGGTCACAAAGTTGGGCCGTGGATAGAGCCCATAGCAGAAGATGCTAAAGAGACGTACTAGGGGTGAACATCCTCCGGACTTGGCAAAGAAGAGTCTTTGCTATGGAACCGAAACAATACCTCAAGGAAGGAGGTAGAGATTCGATGTTGCTTGGTGCAACAATCAACGGATAGGAGCAAAAGATGAGTGGCCAAGATAGGGCCGTGGAATCCCTTGGAAGGAATCCAAGTGACAAAGTTAGGCGAGGAACACTAATGTGTTGGACGCTAACAAGTTGCGGGAAAGGAAGTGTGTTTCCAAGGAGGGATTCCGAAATGCTCCAATTTGGCGAAAGTGGAAGCTCCAAGGGAGGGAGCGGTAAGGTAGCCAAATGATAGGGCCATGAACAGCCCTAGCACAAAGTATGATAAATGGAACTTAGTGCCCAAGGTGGCACGAAATAGAAGAGAGGATGATGGTGCCCTCGAGTAGAGAACTTCCTAGGATGGGAAGTGGAGTTGCACAAAAGGTGCAAGGCAAGGTGTCGGAGACACCTAGGAAATTGACTCCAAGAAGTCAAAATTCAAAGTTCCAAAGTGCAAAGGTTATATTGGTGGAAATTGAGACTACTCGAGAAGGAGTAGTGGGATTGACTTAGAGAAGGGTCTTTAAGAGGTTTAGCGAGAACTAAACCAATAAAAGGAGAGAACCACTATATGTGGTCCAATCAGTCTCTAAGATGGAGAGACTACCCTCCTTAGAGGATATGCAAAAGGCATGGTGAGCCTTCAATGTCCAACCATTGACGAATATGGAGAAGGCATGGTGAGCCTTCAATGTCACACCATTGACAAATATTGGCTACGCGCCAAGGATGGAAATGGTAACACATGCGGGTGTTACTTCATAAAATGGTTCACCGTTCGATGAGGACATCGAACTTCGTCTATGGGTGGTGGAGTTGTGAGACACAAAATCCCTAGGCCCCAAAGTGGAGCCGGAAGGGCGCCACATGGTAGTGGCCGAAGCGAGAGCCAAACGAGCGTAACACGTTTGGACCAAAAGCTCCGACTTGAAAAGTCAAGAGCAGGAGTGGAACTCCCAATGAAGTGCTTAAGGAACGAGCACGAAGCGAGCAAAAGGCGAGGCTCCAAAAAGGGACCCAAAAGGACCAACACATGACACGTGGGAGTGTCCGAGATGGACCCGAGTTGGAGTCCGAAGTGGAGTCCGAGATGGACCCGAGATGGAGTCCGAGATGGAGTCCGAAGTGGAGTCCGAGATGGACCCGAGATGGACCCGAGTTGGAGTCCGAAGTGGAGTCCGAGATGGACCCGAGATGGAGTCCGAGATGGAGTCCGAGATGGAGTCCGAGGTGGACCCAAGATGGACCCGAAATGGAGTCCGAGATGGAGTCCGAGATGGACCCGAGATGGAGTCCAAGATGGAGTCCGAGATGGACCCGAGATGGACCCGAGATGGAGTCCGAGATGGAGTCCGAAGTCGAGACCGAGACCGGGACCGAGACCGAGACCGAGACCGAGATCGGGACCGAGACCGAGGCCGAGGCTGAGGCCGAGACCGAGCCCGAGCCCGAGTCCGAGTCCGAATCCGAGTCCGAGTCCGAGTCCGAGTCCGAATCCGAGTCCGAGTCCGAGTCCGAGTCCGAGTCCGGAGCCTGAGAGGGTGAAAGCCCAAAGCATTCGTCTCCCAGACCCTGGGGGGTTTGGTGAGCTCCAAAAGTATAGTAGGGGGAGGACTGCAGTGGAGCCAGTTTGGCCAGGAAAGGCCAGTTTGGCCCAGGAAGGCCGGACCCAGTGTTGGGTGATGAGCTGCCCACTGGGAAGTCCAAGACTAGAGTGAACACAGACCGACAAGCGGGGTAGCTTGGTGAAGTGTTCAAGAGCCGGCTCTAGTTCCCCCGGGAGATCGACTGGCCGATGCTCCCAGTCCAAGTGTGGGTGGCACTACCTACTTGGATACCTGGTGTGGCTCAATGGAACCCGCTCTAAGCCCATGGCTAGAGCACCCAAGGGCAGAAGGCGAGGAGAGTACCCAGGTGGCTCGCGTAAGGCCACGGTGTTCCGAAATGTTGTCCCAAAGGCCCAGACTGTGGAAAGGAAGAGGAGCAGTCCTCTGGGGTAGTGACCAAGGACACAGTCGTGTGGTGAGGAAGTCCCAGAGGACCGTGGGACTTAGTGGTCGGGCCTGTGGGTCTCGATCCAGTGGCAGTGTTGGCCAACATGGCCAGGGGCAGAAAGGGACTTAGTGGGGACTGACAGAGGGATATTAGGGAAGGCTATTCCCCTTGTCGGTGGGCATCCTAAGGATGCTAAGGAGTGGATCTGAGATGACCACTCACGGAAGGTTTGCCTAGTCTTGGAGAGCTAAGACGGTGATGCAAGTGGTATTGGACTACCAGTGTGGCAAAGGTGATTGGGCATGGCCTTAGCGTAACGGGCTGCTATGTCGGTGGTACCTTTGAGTGTCGGTCATGGGATCGGACACGTGGAGCACTTGGACCAAGTGCAAATGTTGAGTGGCATGGATGCCATTCTCGGGGCTAGCAAGTCCCAAGTCCTGGATTGGACTTATGGAGGTTGTGAATGAGACTCCTCCAAGTGGTCAGAGGTGTGGTTAAGTGACTAAAGTAGAATGGAAAATTTAGTCGCTTACAGTAGAGAGACAGTGATATACCCATTAGAGAGGATTGATGGGGAGAGATTTAAAAAGTTATTTCAAGAGTTGAAATCTGGAGATCTGTTTGCTTGAAGATTTCTTGCCTACAACAATGAGTCTCTCATCCATCGAATGTTGCTAGAACATGGCCGCCACCTAATCTTTGTCCAAACAAGAACATTGCAACTATACAACTTCATTCTGGTTTCTGACAAATATGCTTCTGTATATGGTGATCAATTGACCAGATTGAAAAATGGACTCCCTGATGAATAGTGTGGGAACAACGATTTTCAAAAGTTAGAACACTATTTAGGAAATGGTGGCAGGAAAGTTGAAACTCTTTAACAAGTGCAAGTAGAGCAGCAGCAACAGCCAGCACAGCAATGGCAATAGCAGCATCGGCAGCAGTAGCCACACAGCTGGCAGAGCAAGAGCAGTAGTAGTTAGCATAGCAACCACGCTACGTATGCTATCACAGGAGAGGGTAGTAGTAGTCGCAACAACTAGTGGAGCAAGAGGAGCAACAGCTGACGCAGCAGCCACACCAGGTATGCTATCGTAGGAGAGGGCAACAGTAGCATCAGCATCAGCAGCAGCTGCCAAAGTAGGAGCAATAGCAACCCTCGCTAGAGGTTGCAAGTTCGATGCTTACATGAGAAAGAATTACTGAAACCATACAACCCTAAGGTCAACAGCTGCCCTCTTTCTTTATTGTTTAGGGTTTTTCAATGTTCTTGGTTGTTAGGGCTTATTCTAAAGAATACAGAAGGTGCTGTCGATTGAGCAAACGCAGTAAAGAACATAGAGTTAAGAGATTCATAACTCGCATACTGCGAGCACTTGCTCATGCTCTTCTAAGAGCTATTGGTGCTTCTTTTGGTAGACCTATTTTGGAGTGGAGTGAAATGCCTAAAAATCCCTTTCCTCTGCCTCCCCTCCCTGAGAACGAGCGAAATCTAATCAAAAGAGTTTTAAACTATTTAAAAGACTTTTAAAGTATTTAAAAAATGATTGAAATTTTTTTGAGTGTAGATGAAGTTCTTATCGAGGGTATTGGGATAATGAAAATAATGTCCCTTTTCAAAGTGGAGAGACAGTGATATACCTATCAGAGAGGATTGATGGAGAAAGATTTAAAAAGTTACTTCAAGAGTTGAAATCTGGAGATTTATTTACTTTGGGATTTCCTACCCACAATAGTGAGCCTCTCATCTATCGAATATTGCTGGAATATGGCCGCCACCTAATCTTTGTCTAAATAAGAACATTGCAACTATACAGCTTTATTTTGGTTTCTGACACATATGCTTCCATACATGGTGATCAATTGACTAAATTGATAAATAGACTCCTCAATGAACAGTGTGGGAATAACGATTTTAAAAAGTTAGAATACTATTTACGAAATGGTGGCAGGAAAGTAGATATTCTTTAGTGAGTGCAAGCGAGGCAGCAGCAGCCAGCACAACAGTGGCAGCAACAGCATCGGCAGGAGCAGTTGCACGGCTGGCAAAGCAGGAGCAACAACAGTAGTAGCAGCCGGCACGGCAGCCACGCTAGGTATGCTATTCCACAGCAAATGGCAAAGCAGTAGCAGCAGCAGCAGCAGCTGAGATAGCAGCCAGTGCAGTAGCCATACCAAATATGCTATTGCAGTATAAAGAAGTGCACAAGTGTGACTCCAATTATCAACAACAAGCTGATGCTCTATGATTGTTTTTTCTTCGTTCATGAGTTCCAAGGCTGACATAGTTGCTACTAGTGTGCTGCCAGTTGATAAGATGACAGATTACAAGGGTCTGATTCAGGTTATTGTGAATCAAATCCCACGGAGGCAGCTGGAAGAGACTTACGGCTTGCTCTGAAGCCAAAGCCATATTAGGATCAAAATAGGCCTCCTACTGCTGGTGAGCTTCTCAAGTCATACGCTCAGTCATGCGGCTATGTAGCTTTGAGAGGTCTTCCAGATGAGACACAATCTGCTCTCAAGGACTACCTCAATGGTAAGCTTTTAAACTACCATACTCCACCAGACGACAACACCATAAGTGACGATGAAAGCAACGACAATGATGAGAAGCTGGTGGTGTGACGTTGACGATCTCTCAGGACAAGAGGACGAAGAAGACGAAGGAGAAGAAGACGAAGAAGGATCAAAAACAGCTACAGCTACTGGTGAATCCAATCTCAAAGCTCGACTGGATGTCCAAAAGCTTTTAACGCACATGTAAGAGGTCTGGTACACGTGGCAAAATTACGCGATGCCACGTGGAGGTACTAAGCTTGTGCACGTGGCAAAATGCAATGCTGCCAAGTCGGAAGTACTTCTAGGCTAAGAAAGCCAAAACTTCTATTGATTGATCCGCATTGTAACCCGCTGGGCTTTTCTCTGATTCTCGCTTTTGATCCTGATGTCACCCTATTCTACAGCAACCACCACAAATGGATGAGTATAAATGTGTAAACATACCCTCGTCTTGTCGCAATATCATTTGGAGTGGATTATTAAGGACTTATTAAGTGGATCTGTCTCTCCATAGCGTTCATACTGGAGCATATTCGGTATCGCCGAATAAAGGGATCTTCCGTTCACGCAGCTCCTTCATAGCAATCTGCAAAGAACTCCGTCACTCCACACAAATTCCTTTTCAGAGTTTCGATACCTCGAGTGGATCTGTCTCGCCCTCGAGTTCCACCATCACTGGAGTGTTAATACTGTCACGAAAAAGAAAAAGAAAAGAACTTTAGAGTTCTCACTAGCCAGACCATAGAAGGAATCACCACAATGATTACGATGGCGGTGGCGAGGAGTAAGTCGCTAGATCTCTGCGCTTTGCAGCTACGATGAGCCTCTGGAGCTCGCTCCATTTCAAGCAGCGATTCGATTGCACTTCAAGGAAGAGGTTGAGGAGCAAGAAAACAATGAGGAGGCGCCGGAATTTGGCGGCGATGGGGAATTCCAAGAGGCGGAGAGCGAACAGAACCCGGGAAGACAACCAAGTATATGACCAAGTATGAGAGAGCTCGCGTTCTGGGCACACGGGCTTTGCAAATCAGGTGAGCGAGTCCTCTCGCGTTCCCCTCTAGGTCCCAAAATCTTGGCCAGGAGCGAATATGCCATGGAAGTTTGCGGTTCGATTTCCATGACGCGCTGCGCCACGCCGCGCCTCTCTCCATGTCGCAAGCAACCGTATAGCTCCCCAAGAGCGTACGGTACTCGACGATCCCCGGCTCGAATCCCATCCCCTTGTCCACCAATTCCTCTGCCTCCTCGAGCCGCCCGGATCGCCCAAGAACATCCACAATCGAGCAGTGGTGATCGGGCGTGATCTTGACGCCGAATTCGAGCACGATCGATGCGCAAGCGTCCCAGATACTTCACTCTCGATCGAAACCACCACCGTGACTGCACAGGAAGAGCATGTTGGTGAATGTGACATCATTGGGTCTCACTCCCTCAAGGATCATGGCGGGGTAGAGCTCGAAGCCGGAGCTCCAATCGTGCTTAGCCTGCTCTTAGAAGAGAACCCTTTCTTAAAGGTATTGGTTTGAGTTTGAGCTACGATGAAAACAAGGCAAAGGTGGGTATGAGATGATTAAAGACAAGGATGCAGTGGATTTTCTGCGATGTTTATTAGTTGTGTGAGTAAATTTTTTTGGCAAACTTGTATTGGCCCTTATCACAAAAGCACGATGATGAAAGCGACTTATTTGGTATGATTGGCAGCAACTAACAAGGCAAGCATTTCCTCCCCAGTCCATAGCCCAGCGCAATGGCAACAGCTCCAAGACCAATGGCAAGTCCAATGCCGATGCATGCCAGCCCATCCCGCGCAGCTCCTCGTGCGTCGACAGAACTGCCCAGTGACTTCCCTCCAGCAGAAAGAGCTTCTTTCGCTTCCACATTCTTCGAAGCGCTCTTGAGATGAAGCATGCTGTAGCCCGCAACAATCGTGGCCCCAATGCTGATCACAACTTGCCAGGAACACATTGCGAAAACCCTAAAATTGTCTTGCCAACTTCTTCGCAGGGAAACCTTAGAGCTTAGTATTAAAACTATTTTCAACCGATTTTGACGTATAGCTAGGGTTGATGGCGAGAAGGATCCTGCAGTGCGCTGCCAAAGCTGAGAACCTGTTCTACAACAGAAAGAAGGAGCTTGATGATCTCACTAAGCTGTGCAAGACCGGTAGTATGGTGCTGATCACTGGTCCATAGGACTCGGGGAAGTCTGCTTTCCTGTCAGAGTTTGCGAGGAGGCAGGAGATAAGTGGCCAAGGCCACCCTATCTACCTCAACATGAGGGCAGGAACATTCACTGCAGCCAACTTTGCGAAGGAGCTCAAGTCTCAGCTGAATCCCTTTCTGGCAGCAGCGGCCGAGTATGCCAAGACCATCCCAACGGTGGACAATGTTGCAGCCTCTGCAGGTGGGCTAAGTGAACACATTCAAGATGTGGAGCGCACTCCGGATACAGGCTTTATTGAAAAGCATCTGCGGCCTTCTATTCTCTTGGAGACGACGTTTAGCATCTCGCAAAGACGCGGCCCTCCCGACCTTGATCATTGACGAGGCACACAGACTCCTCGAGTGGAGCCTCGCACCAGAGGAGCAACAACACCTGAGGACCTTGATGGCTTATTTCATCATGGTTACCAAAGAGCGCCAGGAGGCCAATGTGATTCTCTGCACCTCAGAAGACTTCTTCAGATTCTGGCTTCACTTGCATGTTGGCCCCGAGAGGTACCAGCCGCGGATGGTCGGTGACCTTACTGAGGAGCAGGCTCGGGAATTTTTCCTGATGGCATTACTTGACGGCTGGGTTGCCGATGGATACAAGTTTCCAGAGGATTTGTGGAAGGAGATCTTTTCTTTCGTTGGTGGAAGAACGTTGCTCTTAAGTCGCCTGGCGCTGAATCTGAGTTCGTATCTGGAGGACGAGTCTCTCTTACTAAAAGCATGGGTGTCCCAGTGCAAGATACTGGTGGACGCAACTCGCCAGCAAGTTGAAATGGGCTTCGGACCTATGGACTTTCAAGGCAACTTGGACAGCGATAGACCGTGCTGGAACGTTGAAGACTACGAAGCAGTGTTGAGGGAACTGACACAGGCTGAGGGTGGTGTCGTCTCTGTGCAGTACCTCACGGGCTACAAAATAATTTCCAAGGCGGCTCTCCACAGCTTGGTACAGCACAACTTCCTGCACTATCGTTCTTTCTTGTGTCCGTGGGCGGACGACTTGGCATGGTACAAAGGAAAAACAGCAGCATCTTACCTCTATGATTGACGCCATCGCATGGAAATGCGGAAGGGACGGGGCCATGACAATAGGCCACTTAGTTTTTCTACGACATAACAATGTGTGTCTACACAGGAACGTGCTAAATGTCCAACGTAACAGGTATTCCAAATTACTTCCATATCAAGTTTTCTGATTCTAATCACAGAAGTATTTTTTTCTATTTCATTTTATGTTAAACACTTGTTTATGAATGAGGTTTACGCTAGATTTAGCAGAGCAGGGGGAAACGTTACCATCCCGTTCACTCCTTTGAAGGGAGGTTTCCAGTGACAGTATGGAGGCTTTCTGCCAAGGAACGTCCAAGCTCCACGCAAACTGATTTTGTTCTGGCCAAAGTTTGACGTTGTCCATTCCTATATTAAGATCAAGAGATCAAAAGTTAATTCTGTGCTAGAATGATCATATTTTAGAATCTCAAGAGTTTTGAAAAATGGAAATCGACATCCCAAGCAATGTTTCCTACCAGAACTTGTTAGCTCCAGCGAATCCAGCCTTCTTTGTAGCATAACTAATATTTGAGATAACACAATAAGGATGAGTCCATTTGCAAGATGGCATCTGGAGAAAATGGCCTTGTTGAATTTATTGTTGGCTCACCTTGTCTTTCAATCATATCCAAAAGGTGGCTGTAGTTTAGTGGTGAGAATTCCACGTTGTGGCCGTGGAGACCTGGGCTCGAATCCCAGCAGCCACAGTCGTTTTGACTAATGTTGACTAGGAATCATTGGCTTCAGTTGATACAGTCATGCAGCTCGCTATCTGATGCCAGACAGATCTATTCAAGCCTACCACCAAAGTCTCTCACCTCTGATACTTACTTGGCAAACAAGCTCATAGAAATGTATGGAAGATGCGGCAGCCATTATCATGCTTGGATAGTCTTTGATCAAATCCAGCCAAAAGATTCATTCAGCTGGGATTTGATGCTCACTGCTTACCTGCGAAATGGGAGCTTTGACGAGGCCAAGCGGTTCTTCAGCTCCATTCCTCACAAAACTGCTGTTGCAGGGACTGTGATGCTGAACGTATTTGCCGAAAACGGGGATCTCCCGCAGGCTAAAGAGATTTTTGATCGTATGCCCGAGAGAGATGTGGTTTCGTGTAGTGCTATGCTCGCCGCATACATAAAAAACGGTTTTCTTGAAGAGTGCGAGATAGTTTTTAACCAAATGCCGATCCTTGATATTGCATGTTGGAACTTAATGGTTACAGCATATGCCCGAACAGGGCATGTTAACGAGGCTAAGCTGGTGTTTGCAAAGATGCCTGAGAAGAATCTCGTCTCTTGGACAGCCATGTTATCGGCTTTCTCTCAAGGTGGTTTTGTCACAGAGGCTTGGGAGACATTCCTCGCGATGCCAGCCACGGATTTGGGTGCCTGGAACGCCATTCTAAATGCGTTTGCGCAGCAGAAGGGAAACTTCTTTCTACAACAGGCTGAGATTTTGTTTGATGAGATTCCTGAGAGGAACCTGGTCTCGTGGACTGCAATGTTTTCTGTCTACGTAACAAACGGGATGATTAGAAAAGCCAAGGAGATATTTGATGGAATGCCGCAACAAGATCTCATCTCCTGGACTTCAATGCTCACGGCTTATGCCCAACTTGGGCATGTTGAGAAGGCAAAAGAGATATTTGATAGAATGCCTCAATGGAGCGTTGTTGCTTGGACAGTCATGATTCATGCTTATGGCGAGTGCGACCTTGTCAACCAGGCAAAAGAGCTCTTTGACACAATGCCGGAAAACAACATTGTTTCGTGGAATGGAATCCTGTCTCTCTATGCCCGGAACGGATATATGAAAGAAAGCCTTGAAATTTTCCATGGAATGCCTGCTTGGGACGTGATTTCCTGGACAACCATGCTACTCATGCAATGGCAAAGTGGGCGTATCAAAGAGGCCGAAAAGTTGTTTGAAAGAATGCCCCAGCGAAACCTGGCAGCTTGGAACGCGATGATTTTTGGGTATGCCCAGGCTAGTCAACTGGACGAAGCGAAGAAAGCTTTCAACGCGATGCCTCGTCGAGACATGGCCTCGTTCAACGCAATGCTAAGTGCCTACACCCACAACGATAAGAATACGAGAATGTTGGATTTAGCAAAGGTTCTGATTGATGAAATGCCACAACAAGACCTGGGCTGTAAAAATTCAATGCTTAGATTGCTTTCTCAGTTTGGCTATGTTGATGAAGCTCAAAATATGTTTAATTGTATGCCAGAAAGGGACATTGCTTCTTGGAATACAATTTTATCCGCATATGCACAAGAGTGGCACATTTCTAAAATCAAACTTGTGTTTTATCGATTGATGCCTCAAAGAGACTCAGTATCCTGGAACACAATGCTCACTGCCACTGCAAGAAGCTGTGGACATGAGGCAGTTGCAAAAGAATTCCGTTTAATTCCAGAAAGAGATCTTATAAGTTGGAAGATTTTGCTGGCTGCTCATGTGCAAGAGCAAAACTTCTCTGGAGCTTTTAATACTGCTTACGATTTGAGTTTGACAGGCTTACCAGATTCAACATGTTTTGTGTCAATTTTATTCGCATGCAATCACAGTGGAAGTGTTGCTGCTGCCAAGTCATGGTTTGGCTCTTTAGTCTGGGATTTTATGTTGAATCCGTCAAAGCAGCATTACTGTTGCATGGTTGACATTCTAGCCAGAGCTGGGCACTTGAGCGATGCAAAAGAACTAATTTGCAGCATGCCTTACGTTCCAGATGCTGCAGAGTGGACATGCCTGTTGCGAGCCTGTGTGAGCCAAAACAAGCTTGAGCTTGGAAGTGAGGCTGCAAGAATGTTGTTCGAGCTAGAACCAAGAAACAAAACCCTTTTTGTTACAGCTTCAAACTTGAATATGTTTTCTGCACAAACAAAAAATTTGCTGAAAATTTAAACTTTTATCAATTATTGTATAGATAAATTTCACTTTCTAATGTTTACAGAATGTAGATTTACACTCTTTCACGACTTGCATGAAAGAGGGTAGTTTGTATTGGCCCTTGTCACAAAAGCACGATGATGAAAGCGAGTTACTTTGGTATGATTGACAGCAACTAACAAGGCAAGCAGATCCTGGAGTGCTACAAACCTTTATGCAATTGGACACTTTGTTTGCATGGCTGATGCAAGAAGGATTTTTCTCCGCTGGAACCATTCCTTGTGTTTGATCGGGAGCAAACACTAGCAAGCTTGCTAACACCAAGATCACAATCTTCATCTCTAGCCTCTCTCTCAATTGAAACATTTTTGAGTTTCCAATATTTATCAATGAAATGGCTTTGGATGCTCCGATCACATTTTGTTTTTTATTTATATCACATTGAGAATGCAGGCAATGACAAATTCACAAAGAACAGTTCTTATGTATGACTACAATTATAGGTAGTCATATTTCTACAATTACGATTTCTTATGTGCACGCGTGTTCCGTCATTTCCTGAAACACGAGTCTTGCTTAGTCTACGTTTCCACAAGACTATGTCTCGCTATGAAATTGAAGAAAAGTTTGCCCGTCTCAGGATGCCCCCTTTGGGTATCCACTGCAAACATGATATCCGAACATTATGAAATTCGAAGGCTGCCGAGCCTTTTCGATCGATCTGCACGCCCCATACGGACGATCGAATTGGACAGCAATCAGCTTTGTGAGTGAGGGGACCCAAGAATTGAATTTGCTTGACATTTGCAGATCCCTCTCAGATAGGCGAGGTATGAAACCTCACCACACACTCCGCCCAAGATTCTCGTATCAGTACTACTTACTAGTGGCAAGGAAAACCACGTTTTTGACAATATCATCCATGGGTTACACTGTCTCCCTCTGGCAATTCAAAGCAGTGCAAACAAAAACCAAAGGTGGTGGTGCCCCCAGACATTGACACCCGAGCTACGCCAATGGCTGCGTTCTAGTTTTACTTGCCTGGAATGAGGAACACAGCGAATCTCAAAGACAAAATCCATTGAATTGTTGCGCAATGTTTGAGGCAACTACTTCTCAAAACCATGGAAATATTAAAACAACACAAACAAATATTTATCTAAACCATGGCCGATTAAAAGGTCACAAGCAGAACAATATGGCGCACATGGTCCTTAGTGGCGGGCGCGGGAGTTTTGGCCGTTAGCGAATTTGGGCACATGGCCACAAATGCGGATGGGCCGGTACCAGTGCTACGTGGCAGCAATAATAGACTTCGGTAGATAAGAGCCAGCGCAGTTTTGTGGTCTTGCAATTTTCCACGTGTGCATGCGACAAAGGAAATTGTCCTTGCAATTGGGAAGACGCCATTAAAAGTTTTTAGGTATACAGAAAGGTGTGGTGTGGTCAAAAGAGAGTGCTTCTTTGCGGCTGCCATAGCCACGGAGCTCTTCCTTCTTCTTCCTCTCCATTCTTGCTTGTGGTGTGGATCCATTGATTCATCTTTGCGGAGAGATGAGCGCTGGAGTGGGAATTCCTGGTCCCTGGAGCTTGGAATCGCAGCCCATTAGCTCCGGGTTCTTGGCGGTGCCTGGGAATCGCGGTGCCCGATTCGATGCGCGAGTCGAGAGATCGAGACATTACGACATTCCATCGAGCGACAGCGAGAGCGGTGACGATCTGGACGACATTGGCGATGATTTCCTGGACGAGTCCGGGGATTTCATCGACCATGGATCGGGCGCGGGGATCGAGAGCTGCGGGAGTAACATCTCATCGCCCATTGAGATTTGCCCCAAGACCGAGGGCGCGACGAGGATCCTCCGCCAGAAATCCCGGCGATGCGCGGCGGAGCAGTCGCGGGAGGAGGCCTGGGAGCGGCGCCGCTTGATCGAGGAGCTCAAGTCCTCGTCATCGGAGCACTCGAGCAAGCTCATCGCGCGCTCCAATTCCGACTGTGGTCCGCAGCAGCCATCGCTCCACAGCGATGAGGATCTGGGCGATTGCCCGCGATCGAGGAGCCTGACCGAGGAGGATTTCGAGGAGCTGCGCGGCTGCATTGATCTGGGCTTCCGATTCAATGCCGAGAAGGAAGACCCAATGCTGTGTAACACTCTCCCCGCGCTCGAGGTGTGCTACGCCGCCAATCGGCAGCTCCAGGATCTACACTCGCCCTCTGGATCGAGCGATTCGTGTTCGTCTTGGCAGGTCGCTAGCCCAGGTACGAGAATTTCTTTCTTTCTTTCTAGTTCCTCCTTGGCAGCGTAATTTAGGGTTCTTCGTGAGCTAACCACAAGAACGATGGAGAAGAAGCTCTGTTTTCTCTTGTTTCTCTTTAGCTTTTCTTTGCAGAGCTCTAAAAGCCAGGCCTAGCAATCGCTCCTCTACTCTAGAGGTGTGGTATCACTAAATTTTCCCAGGCAGCATTGATTCGTACTAGGATCGTTGATCGATTGTCTCGAGAAAACACTCACAAATTCTGTCTTTTTGTTCTTGCAGGAGAGGAGCTCCAACAAGTGAAAGAGAAGCTCAAGCATTGGGCTCGTGCCGTGGCTTGCATTTCCAGGCAATCGTGCTAGCTGCTAGCTACCGAGATTTTCATAACGACACAAAAATTTTGGTAGCTCTCTCCAAACAATGTGATATACTTCCACCAAGAACCCTAAAATCAATAACAAAACTGTATAGAATGTTCTTCGCGCGATCGCTCGCAGCGCTCTTCAATCCAATCCACGCCAATGCCGCCGTCACGATCGCCGGATCGCGCGTCCTCACCGAGATCCTCCGCGAATTCCAGGTCCTGTCGAGCGAGGCGCTGTGGAAGCACGCCTCCGCGCGGGGGATCTCGAGCGTGGAGCGCATGGAGCTGGTGATCCAGTGGATGGCCGAGAGGGGCCAGATCCGCATTGTCCCGGCCAGTGATTTGGGGCTCCCGGGCGTGTCCAAGCTCCATATGCTTCCGGACGCGCCGTTCTCGCGCTGGAAGAGCGAGGATTCTCCCGGCGATTGCGCGCAGAGGAGGCAGATCAGGAAGCAGAAGAAAAGGAGTGGCGTGCCCAGGATCTTCTGGGATGTGTAGAGCGCGCGATCTTAGATCCTTGGCGCCTACATTGGAGAGATTTTAGGGTTCTTGAGGATTTGGGGATTTTAGGGTTCTTGAGATTTAGGGTTCCTGGGAGAGGACGATCGATCAAGGAGAATGCTGTTCCCATCGACTGCCCGGCGGATGCGGCATTTCCGTCCGCGGGTAGCGCTGGGCGACACGGAGACTTTCACGCGGCTGGTGACTGACATCCTGCGCGAGCACGAGATGGTGACGGTGGACGAGTGCTGGGGGCATTTGCAGGAGCGAGTAGAGCACGGGGAGCTCAAGAGCAAGCGCCACATGAGGCGGCTGCTGCAGTGGATGGGCGATATGCAGATTCTGCGCAGGGAGAGCGTTCGATCGGGCGGCCCACCCGTGCTGCTGCTATGGGATGCGCCGCCAATCCACAAGGAGCGGCAGCCGGATCCAGATCTGTCGCGAGAGCAGCGCGGTAGCCGGTCTCGCGAGTGGGTCTGGAAGCCCAGGAAGATCACGCTGTGGGGCGATAAGAAGCTGGATTGGATCTAGCCTGTAGCGATCGAGTTCTTGCGTGGAGGAAGTTATTTTGGATTTTTTCTTTCCTTGTCCGCTGTGGCTTGAAGGAGTCGCCCAGTCTGGCTGCTTCTGGCAAGTTTGTCAACAACAGACAGGCACAGGACGACAAGTTGGCACCATCGAATTTAATCGCCTCGCCACTGCCAGTGAGATAAATCTCTCTTCCGCGAGCCTGGGAATTTGTGGATGAGTGAAAGACTGGCCGCTGGGACTGTGCTGCCCTGTGCTCGCTCGGACGACACAGAGAGCTTGTCACGTCTGACGACTAGAATCAAGATCATAGCTGTCTTCGATCGATGTTTACGGTGGATTAGCTTTGATCACGAAACAAGTGGCTCGTCAACCAGGTTTGTTGGTTTTGTCTGTATCGATTTGTTTCATCGCTTTTTCTTTCTTGTTTCTTCTCAGGCTCGATGGATTGAGTTTGAGGCGACTAGAGAAGGTCATAGCCAGATGCTTCTGGAAAGAGCCAATTGGTATTATAACATATATTTTATGGTTTCCTTCCATTGGATCACTTTTCTGTCTCGATAGATTCTACGCGTGCTGAGTCCTTTCAACTTTCACATATCATTTCCTGAGATCATCGCCAGGTACGAAAGTATCCGAACAGTAGAAGCGGAGATCAAAGTTTTGATTGTTGGACAATGCAGGAAGGGAAAAGTGTGAAACGAGGAAGTGTCTTTACGACCTTAACACGGAATCGTGACGCAAGTGAAAAGCTTTACAGCAGTCAAGCACTGCTCAAACAAGTTGAACTTTAAGGTCTCGTCTTAATCTAGGACCCGTTTCCTCATTTTCAACTTTTTTTTTCTCACAGGTCAAGAACAAGCGGCCACCTCCGAAATTCTGTTAGATCAGAATCAAAGTAGCTGACCAGAACGACAATGATGTTCTTCACGTAAGCATCAGCGTTGTTATGTTAGAACTCTTTTCTGATTTTAATCTCTGGACATAGGCAAAATCGATGCTTCACTGCATACTTTGGAGCATCTGTACAACCTCTCTCATACTTGGCCGTTCCTTCGGATCCAACGTGGTGCACAGCAGGCCGAGCTTGACGAACTGCATCATCACTTCTACCGACGCTCCGGTCTCCAGCAAGACGTTATCCACAAACTCCTCTATTCGAAGCGTCTCGCTCGACAGCAAAACTTGAGCCCTCACCCACGACACCAGGTCCATTCCCTCGGCTGGAAAGTTCCGATCGAATGGAGACTTCCTTGTTGCCAGTTCGAGCAGCACAACGCCGAAGCCGTAAACGTCGACCTTGTCGCTCAGTCTCATCGTGTAGCCATACTCTGGAGCAACGAACAATCAAGGTTAGCATCTGTATACGAGGAACAGGAGGTGAAAGCTTACCTGGAGCCATGTATCCCAGAGTTCCAACGATCGCAGATGCAGTCTGAGGATCACGCTCATACGTGAGCTTGGCGATCCCAAAGTCCGTCAACTTGGCTTCCATATCGGCATCCAGGAGTATATTACTGGCCTTGACATCGCGATGGATTACCGAGGGGACACAGTCGTGGTGCAAATAAGCCAGTCCGTGAGCAGCTCCCAGCGCGATCTTCCACCTCGTCGGCCAGTCAAGTTGATCGCCATTCTTGTGCAACGCAGTGTCGAGGCTCCCGTTCGGCATAAACTCGTAGACGATCATGTTGGAGTCGGGCTGCGAGCGCCTGTAAGCGACGAGCTTCACCACATGCCTATGCCGGAAGCTGCCCGCCGTCACGATCTCTCGCTCGAAGCTCTGGTTGGTATCGTCATCTTGGCTCCGGTACGTGAGCTTCTTCACTGCAAAGACATGGCCGGAGGAAGTTGTGACGCAGTAGACGACGCCGTGAGCACCACGGCCGATGATATTGTCGTCCGAGACTCCAGCGATCGCCTGGGCTATATCTCGCAGTGAGACTGCACGCCGGGAGGAGACGAAGAGCTTGATGGAGTCGAGCCTCTGCTGTTCGCGGTGGAGGCTGTACTTCTCCGAGGTTTTCTTCACCGAGATCCAGATGACCAACACGAGAAGGACGAAGAAACTCAAGGCCGACGCGAAGGCGATGCCGATTATAGCTCCCGAGCTGAGACCACGCTTCGTGCTTCTGGGTTGAGCGCTGGTGGTCGAGTTACAGCTGCTCGCGACGCACAGGCCGGGATTTCCAAGGAAGGAGCTCGCTGGGAATTGCTGCCACTGGAGCTGGCCGCTGGGCAGCTTCCCGGAGAGCTGGTTATAGGAAAGGTTGACGGAAATCAGCGAAACCATGTTGCTGAGAAGCTGTGGAAGGCTTCCTTCAAGGGAGTTGTGTGAGAGATCCAAGCTCTGGAGCATGTCGAGGCTGGACAGAGCTTGAGGGATCGGACCAGTGAGCGAGTTCCAGCTGAGGTTTAAGGCGATGCTGAGCTGCGAGAGCTGTCCCAGAGCCGGCGGGATCGCTCCTCGCAGCTTGTTCTCTGCGAGGTTGAGCTCCATCAGACCACCCAAGCTCGATATCTCGTCGGGGATCACTCCGGTCAGCTCGTTTATCTGGAGCCGAAGATAGTTCAGCGACGACGATGAGGCGGCCGCCATCGAGAGCTCGCCATGGATGGAGTTGCTGCTCAGATCGAGCGTCGCCAAGCTGCTCGAGTTCCAGAAGGTGGTGGGGATGCTTCCATTGAGGAAGTTGGAAGAAACGTCGAGGTACCCGAGCTTGGTCAGTCGCCCGAGTTCGTCAGGGAGAGCTCCTGAGAGGCGGTTTTTCTGGAGCTCGATCCGGCTCAAGTTGGCGCACGACCCCAGCTCAGGAGGAACCGGTCCGCGCAGATCATTCCCGGCCAAGTCAAGGAAGTAGAGCGCACTGTTCTTGGCGAAATCGACAGGAATGCTACCGTCAAACAAGTTGTTGCTCAGCCTCAAACGTTGAATCCTCGAGCAGTGCCTCGCGACCTCGTCCAAGGTTCCATTCAGCTGGTTCGCGAGGGCGTTGAATAGACGGAGTTGTCCGGAGCTGCACAGGCTTTTGGCCGGGATCTTCCCGGTGAGGAGATTGTTGCTGAGCTCCACCTCGGTCAAGTTGTTCGTGGCTCCAAGCGATGGTGGTATCTCGCCATGCAAGCGATTGGCATCGAGATAGAGTACCTGGAGATGGCGGAGCTCGCAAAGCTGTCTAGGGATCCTACCAGTGAGCTGGTTGTCCGCGAGCCGGAGCTCCAGCAAGCTCGTGGAGTTTCCAAGCTCGGGTGGTATCTCGCCGGTGAGAGTGTTGCTCTCCATCCTGAGAGTTTGGAGCTTGCTCGATCGGCCAAACTCCCGCGGGATGCTTCCATTGAGCCTGTTGCTCGAGACGGAGAGATAGACCAAGCTCAGACAGCCTGCCGCGATCTCCGGTGGAAACTCTCCCGTGAGCTGGTTGTAGGAGAGATCCATGATGGTGACGAGCTCGAGAGCTCCCAGGCTGGACGGGATCCTTCCGGAGAGATGGTTGTAGAAGAGATAGAGGCTCGTGAGGCTCGAGCAGCCGCCAAGCTCCGGTGGGATTGGACCCGAGAAGGAGTTCCGCGAGAGATCGATGCGCTCGAGAGCCTTGCAGCGGCCGAGCGATGGAGGGATCTCGCCGGAGAGGTTGTTCTGCGAGAGGCCGAGCTGCTGGAGCTGCGTGAGCGACGAGAAGCCATCGCGCGGGAGCGTGCCGTGGAAGAGATTGGTGGACAGATGGAGGGACGTGAGGTTGGCGGAGGTGAAGATCACCGGCGGGATCTCCCCCGAGAGGGAGTTTTCGTAGAGCCAGAGGTCGGAGAGATCGGGCAGGACGCGAGTGAAAACCGAGGCTAGATCGCCCGAGAGGTTGTTGGTGTTGGCGTAGAAGCTCTGGATTCTCGTGAGCCGCGTGAAAACCTGTGGAGGGATGCTACCCGAGAAGGAGTTGGTGCCCAGATCGAGGTATCTCATCCTGGAGCAATTGCCCAGCTCTGGAGGGATCTCTCCCGAGAGATCGTTGAGCGAGAGATCGAGATAGACGAGCTGGGCGAGAGAGCCCACCGCGGGGGAGAGCGTTCCCGAGAGACCCATCTGCTGGAGCTGGATGGATTTGACGCGGAGGGATCGTGTGTGGCATTTGATCCCTGTCCAGGCGCAGGGGCAGGCATCGGATGCGTTCCAGGTGCTGAGCGATCGAGATGGGTCGTGGAGAGAGCTCTTGATGGCGATCAAAGAGGCGACCTCGTTGCGAAGCTCCTCGCTTGGTGGGCAGGACAGGGAGGAGGTAGCGAAGAGGAGGAGGAAGAAGAGGGCGCTGGGGATTGGAGCTGGATGGTGAGACGCCATACCTGGACGAGCATTGGAGAGCTTCCAAATCGCGGATTGGAAGCGCATTGATGGGTTTTATAAGAGCCGACAACGCGTCGACCGACACTTGCGACCATTGTGTGTGAAACGAGACTCTTTTTTGGAATCTCGCTCGCAACCGGCCAATCCGAAAAGCGATAAAAAAGGCACGCACTCGTGTGTGAGAACATTCCAAGAAATGATCATTGGTAGCCACAAAGGTGGTTCTTTCTTCCATTTGGGTTGACTCTCCATCCAAATGCCTCAAGAGGGCAAATGCATTCCTTTGTAGCATATACCCAGTATGGGAGTTTGCAATGCCCATGCCATTTAAAAGCTATGAGCTTGAGATTTCTGTGATCTCATGAAATGGAAAACATAGTGGCCAGCATCCGATCTTGCACAGCGTCGAGGGATCTGGAGCAGGCCCGGAGCATCCACGCCCGGGTTCTGGAGGGCGAGCATCGAGACAACACCCTCCTCGCCAACTTGCTCATGAAAATGTATGGCAGGTGCGGATGCCCGGGCGAGGCACGGAAGATCTTCGACGCCACGCTCCATCCCAACGCCTACTCGTGGAGCATCCTCATCGCTGCGTATGCTTTCAATGGCCAGCTTGATCTCGCCCGCCAAGTTCTGGAATCAATGCGAGAGCCCGACGTCGTCTCGTGGACAGCGCTTCTCACAGGCTATGCCCAGAACGGGGATCTGGACTCAGCGCAAACAATCTTCGATTCCATGCCTGTGAGAAACGTTGTTTCCTGGACGGCGATGATCACCGGCTATGCCCAGCTCGGCCAGTTTCTAAAAGCCGAGCTCTTGTTCAAGGCCATGCCGGAGAGGAACATAGTGTCTTGGACAGCTATGGTGTCTGCATATGCCCAGAACAGGCATTTGCAAGAAGCTCGCGCCTTGTTCGATTCTATGCCCGAGAAGAACGTCGTCACGTACAACGCGATGATCCAAGCGTACGCCGATGCCAGAGAGATCGACGAGGCGAGAGCTTTGTTCGATCGAATGCCCTCGAGGAACGTAGCGTCGTGGAATGTGATGCTCAAGACTTATGCCGAGGCTGGGCTTGTGGACAAGACGGAGAACTTGTTCCGGGACATGCCCGAGAAGGACACCGTCTCGTGGAACATCGTGATCCAATCCTACTTCTCCAGCACCAAGATCGAAAAGGCGAGGCAGGCCTTCGCAGAGATGCCTCGCCCGGACGTCGTGACTTCCAACATCATGATCGCGGGCTTCGTCCAGAACGGGCATCTGGAAGACGCGAGGAGGATCTTCGACGGGAGGAGCTCGCAGCTCGACATCGTCTCCTGGAACACGATCATCTCGGCGTACGCGCAGCGGGGAGACTTCGCAGTGGCGCAGGAGCTCTTCGATTCCATGACGCACCGAACGAAGATCACTTGGAACGCTCTCTTCTCGGCATACGCCCAGCACCGCCGTCTGGAGGAGGCCAAGCTTCTCTTCGATCGAATGCCGCACGAGAGAAGCACGGAGATTTGGAACGCGCTGGCGGCGGCCTACGTCCACGACTCGCGATTCAACGAGGCCAAGCGATTGTTTGACGAGATGCCCGAAAGAGATGTCTTCTCCTGGACGGGGATGGTGGCGGCCTACACCACGAGCGGGAACTTGGATCTTGCCAGGAGGATGTTCGACAGCATGCCCGACAAAGATCTTGTCGCCTGGAACTCGATGATTGCAGCGCACTGTCGTGTCGGGAATGTGGACGACGTGCTGCGCCTGTACACCGGTCTGCTGCTGGCCGGCACTGTCCCCGACGAGGTGACATTCACGACCGTGCTGGGAGCTTCCAGTCACGCGGGGCTCCTGCGCGAGGGACTGGCTTACTTCGTCTCGATGACGCTCGATCACCGGATCATGCCTTTGCAGCGCCACTACCGCTGCGTGATCGATCTTCTCGGGAGGTCCGGGCTGCTGCTGGATGCCGAGCAGTTGCTCAAAGGCCTGCCTTACAACTTCGCGGCGGATGACATCGCTGGAGCGGCGTTCCTGGGAGCTTGCAAGACGCACAGAGACGTCGATCGTGGAGCTCAAGTTGCGAGAGAAGTGATAGATATGGATGCCAAGGATGACACTCCATATGTGCTTCTCTCCAGCATCTACTCCGGACGAAGAGCTGTGTAGAAAGATAGTCAGTGGATTGAACATCGATCAATCGGAAAAAGCTTGTACCGGGATGACAACAAAAGCCTGTAAATGTGAGAAAGAAATAGACATCGATACGTGTGTCACGCTACCTAGCGTCGTCATGACTCGGACGTTGTCGTAACTGGCCCATTCCTCTGCTCCGGAGAGATATCCATCTCGAACACCAAAACTTCATCCGAGACGGGCCGAAGATCCTGTGTTCCACCGTCAAACTGACTGCTCTCGCCGTTTTCCTTGCGTTCGAGACTGTCCAAGTCTACCGCTTCGAGGTCTGATGTAATGCCGACCAGCGTCTGTCTGTCTTCTTCGTCCTCCTCCCTGTCTCGCTTGGGCCGTGGACCTTCTCGTTCCAGATGCTGGACTTGGTTGGAAGATGTAGCCGTGTCAACCAGGTCCTCGTCCTCACCAAGAACTACTTCGCCATCGCTGCCGCTGCTGCTACTGCTGCTGCCGCTATCTGCTAAGGAAAAATGTATGTTTTGTCCATCTTCAGTCACGTCTGGATTCGTTTCAAGATCGTCTTGAAACGGAAACCATGGTGAGTCCGACCCAAAGAGGCGACCACTGTAAGCAGTACATGTCAACTCAATGGCTACGAAAAACTAAGCTCGTTTTACTAACCTCTCCTGCTCGTCGCAAAGGCGAGCAGACTTGATAATCACCTCGGAAGAGTCCTCTTCAAAGAAGGCATCCTGCAAAAGAAAAGAAAAGTGTAAGTGCCGAGGAAGAACAATGACTAGAAATACCTCTTCCGTGTCGTCGTTATCAAACATGTTGTATCTGAAAACTTTTCTAGTCAAGTTACCAGCCAGCGCAGATATACCATAATCACGATCACAAAGGTCATCTTCATCACTATCCAAGGGTCTGTTGTGGTTTGATATCGGCCGCCTGCAGACAAGCAAGTTAAACCATCACATCAACATGATGTACCATTTCAACACAACATAACTCACCCACATGACCATTGGTACACATTTTCTACCGTATTTCGCTCCTGAAGCACCGTGGACTTCCATTTGAGCCAGCTCCAATTATCCTGAAGATGGATAGCTTAGATCAATGTGTTACGTGGATCAACAATCAAACACCTGTAAGTATCTCTGGACTTGCTCGTTTTCAGATTGTGTCAAGCTGTTGGCAATCCTCGTTAGATGTCCAATGTTCCCGACTCTTGGAGGTTGCTTCCTTTCTGACCTTGACTGCACAGATAATGCAAGCCATTAACGAAGATCACAAAAGTTTAGCAAGCTTACTTCTCGCTGCTGGTCGTGCAGCGTATTCGAAACGTATGGGTCTTTGTCCACTTCAAGCAGCCTTCCTACGAGGTTGCAATCTCGAAACAAGTTATCGACGACAGTAGAGCTCCCATAATTAATACATGTGAGTAGTACGGTCTCCACATGATGATGCAACATGTTATTAAAGGGATAGCTGCACAAAAGACACCCTGCAAAATTAGAAATTGTCAAGCCGTATGCCTCTGCTCTATTGCATTTACGGTTCTCAAAAATTGCATCAAGAAAAATTCATACGTACTCGAAGAACAGGTTTAGCAGTCTCTGTAATGCCTTGTGCTGAACCAGAACTTCTCCAACTCTGTCGGGATCTGCTCTTAAGAGAGCGGCAGTGAACTCCACAATCTGCAAACCGGAAACAGTCAAGACAAATAAATAGTAAATAACACCCTCGCCTTTAGACGATGGGTACCGAATGGCGGCCTTAATATCCCATAAGTAGTCGGTAGTGACGCTTCGTCCTTAGAAACATCCAACACTTTTAGCATTTCACCTGCACAACACTGAAATAGGTGATAGTCCGAGGACAGTCCACTAAACGTACCTAAGGTCTGAAGCATCTCATCTAAAGTCTCTGGGACAACAGTAGACGGCTGCCCCTTCGGTTCCAACAAAGAGATACACACAGACAACGAGTGCACGAGAATTGCCTTCGAGTTTACGTTTTCCAAGGCCCGAGTGAAAAGCTTTGTCACAAATCTTGAAAAAGCAGAGTCTTAGAAGTGCGTTACTAGATTAAAACCGAGACCATTTACCTCGGACTAGAGAGTTTCAAGGCGAGAGCAGACTGAGGCAATCGCATTACTGTGCACAAAGTGTTCGCAGCATTTGCATGGACTTCAGACTTCTTCTCCTGTATTGAAACACGACCTCAGCATTTGAAAAAACGTTTAAAAGGCAGGACTACTTACGGAAGAGCTGAGCTTGTCCACTAACATATCAATCAACTCGGTTTCTGCTAGCCATTGGACAGCCTCTGAGTGGTATGTGTAGATTTGGTTATTGGCGCCAACGAGGCGCATCAGAACCTACAGGCCTAGACTTCTCAACGACAACGTCTCAACGGAGCTGATTTTACCTCCATGATTGAAGTTAATCCAATGTGATCCACCATTTGCTGCAAAACTTCTGTATGATTCTGAAAACCAATGCTGCTCAGTTCACGAAAGAGTGGAGCGAGATGATTATAGTCAAATACCTGTATATAATGCATAAGTTCCTCCGTCTTTCTAACAAGCAGACCGATAACAATCTAAGATCAAATAAAAACAGTCAAGGATGACAAATTCAGCTTTGAACGTCAACACTTACCCTGGAAAAGTTTCCAGCTTGTTGATCATCTCGATCATAGTCAGGAACCAGAAAAGAAAAGAGAGACTCCATCAGCTGCGCACAAAACAAAACAGTTCCAGACAAAAGAATTGTTTCCTGGAAGAAGGAAAATATAAACTAGAAGAACCTCTTCATCACAGGCCAGCGTTGTCAAGATGTCGTCCACTTCCGAGCTCAGTATCGCACTCGATACAAAAGAGTACCTGGGCGAGAGAGAGCGTGTGACAAGACAGACAAAACGCGAAACTCTATTCTTACTTGTAAGATTTCTCGTCGTCGTGAACTGGCACTACGATGGCGTACGAGATCATTTTCTTCATCCGATCCTTGTTCTGGAGGCTACACACACGCACAAACAAACAATGGTCACTCGCTCACTCCACCACAAGAAAAGAAAAAATCGAAACGAGAATCGAAGAAAGAGAGCTCACAATTTCATGAGATCTTGGTTGCGGTAGCAGCTCTGGAGCACATCATCCTCGTTGAGAATCTCCTCGAGAGTGCACTCTTCGCTTTCGAGCATGTTTGGCAGCTGATAGGAGGAATAGGAAGCTTAGCGCAAGGGAATGCAAGAAGGAACACCTACATTCGAGCCCCAGAAGGAGCCGGCCATGGCGCGGACGAGATTCTAGCTCCCAATCATCGACGAGCCTCTTCCCGGGACAAAACCCTAGCTAGATCCCACCTCAAAATGCGCGCCTCGATCGTGACAAGAAGAGGATGAGCAAGCCCGGAAGATATACTACCGCGCTGGAGCGTGGATTGGAAGCAAGAAAGGCGGCCTTGGGCCGAAAAGGAAGAAAGCTTTGGAACTAGGCCTAAGAAGAGAAATTTTCGTTTAGGGTTCTTCGCTAGGAACTAGGTAGGAAGGAAATATTCTCGTTCTCGACAATGCAGCGCGTCCACGATCTCGACAGCAAGATCTCGCTCTGGATTCACCAGGCCGGCGCCAGGATCCCTCGATTCGTGCTGCGCTTGCTGGAATTCTCCGGCGATGGCGTCTTCTGGATCGTGGCAATCGCGGCGCTGGCTTGCGCGGCTCCATCCTCGCCCCAGCTCCAGCTCCTGGTGCCCGACCTGATGCTGGGATTCGTGCTGGATGTGCTGCTGGTGGCGTCGATCAAGACGATCGTGCGCCGCCCTCGTCCAATCTACAACAAAGGCATGTATGTGATTTCTTCCGTGGATCACTGGTCGTTTCCCAGCGGCCATTCCTCGCGAGCGCTCTTCATGGCGTCCTTCTTTTGGCTCAAGGCCGCGAGCTCCATTTCTTCTTCTTCTTCTTCTTCTTTGCCGCCATCGCCACCGTGGGCGAGCTTGCTCGAGTTCGTCGTCACGGTGGAATTCTTGGCTCTCTCCTGGGCTGTGGCCACCGCCATCTCTCGAGTTCTCTTGGGGAGACACTACGTGATGGATGTGTTCGTTGGCTCGATCCTGGGAGTTTTGGAGGCGGCGGTGGTGGACAAGTTCTCTCACGCCACGCTGCATCAAGCTTTGAGGGAGAAGCTCTCGGCCACCACCATCGCTTGGAGGTAGCGAGAATCTCTACCTCTTCTATAGCTCGCTAGTTTCAGAGCATTGAATGAAAGCTTGATACCCTGGAAAAACTTTCCAAGGTTTACATGGCATTCTTGGAACGGCCGCCTTATAAACATACCTATAATAGGGCGGCGGTGGTGAAGGTGGTGGCCGTGACGGTGGTGAAGGTGGTGGCGGTGATGGTGGCGGAGGTGGTGATGGTTGGAGATGTGGTGGTGATGGTGACGAGGCAGTGATGGTGACAAGGGTGGTGCAGCCAGCCTGACAAGTTCTACTGTTCTACCTGGTTGGGTGGCACAAACAAGACCACAAACAAGATGAGTGTTCATTTTATAGGTTATAGAAAAATAGAAAAATTGATATAAAGGTAATAGAGCATACGTTAAATTGATATAAAAGTCATCTTTAGGCTGAGACTTTTACGCACGAGTTTCTTGCGAGCGAGTCTTGTTCACAGATAGGGAGAGAGTTTGGTTGGGGTGGCACATCTGTTGAAAAAAAATATATTGCAGGTGTCCTCAGATTGCTCAACCAGAATAAAAAATCATGCGCGAGACCATGAGATGGCCACGAGGCAGCAGTATATACTTAGTGGCGCTTGCGCAGAGACAGTGAGAGAGAGAGAGAGAGAGAGAGAGAGAGGGGAGGCTTTGGAACTAGGAGGTGTTAGACAAGAGCTTGTAGCAAGCTATCGCTCTAGCGCAATTGCCACAATATAGGTCCCGGCTTGCGCAGCTCTGGTGGATTCTTGAGCATGGTGTCTCGCCCTAGCACTCTGCTCATCCTCTTGTGTGTGGGCTTCCTTCTCTTCCCGATTTTCCAGAGTGTCAATGGAGCTCTAGAACTCACAGCCATAGACTGCGCACTCAACGAGCAACGCTCCTGTGCGTTCCCAACAGGTTTGGTTCTCTGGCAATGCTGGGCAAGGATTAGCTACTGGGGAG